TGATGGCATTTGGCATTGTGTGAACAGAGACTATTTCATTTCTCTTTCACCTAACTGTCCATCTGTTGCTTGAACTTTATATGATTATTTCTGATAGGAGCCTGTACCACTGGCTCTCTCAAATTCTTATAAAAAAATGATCGCATGTCATCTAATTTTAAATTTAAATTAAACAGTGTCTTTCAAAGTAGATAGCAAACTGGGTAAATTTGTGGTATCCCATTGACGATCAATTTATTTGTGCACTGACCTTCAATGCTATGGAACTGATCTCTCTTTTATGCTTCTGGTCCAATAGGAGAGTATTACTCTGAAACTGCACTTTCTCCACATTGCTTAGCACACAGAAGGAAATAAGCTGACCTGCTTTCCCTCTGCTTCCATGGCAACAGGCTACTTGGGTCACAACAACTTTCCTTACTGACCAGAACCTATACTCTGCATAGCGGGCCACGAATCATAGTCCCACCGCACTCTGCAAAGCAGACACAGAACCATGCCCCACACACACACCTTGTACTCTGAATAGCAGACTGAATCATGGCCCTCCCTGCACTCTGCATAGCAGACACAGAACCATGCCCCTCCCTACTTTCTTCTTCCCTCAACCAGTAACCCAGCCAGTCTAATTCTGCATGCCCACTTCTGTCAGCAGGAGCATCTCTCTCTGTGCCAATCCTATGCATTTCTTTGTCTCCCACTGTGCTCATTCCCACCTGGTCTTTTTGTCCAACCCTCCACAACCTCCTGACACTTTAATGTAAGTATGCAGGTGTCATCACTATTTATGCTACTTCAGAAATGTCTGCTCTTTAAATAAATAATTTCCCTTCACACTCCATTTATGGACTATTTTGAACAGTTCACTCCATCCATATCAAATGGTAGAGAAAAATGTTGTAATTTGATTGGTGTTTCTCTAGGTTGATCTAAGATTTCAAGTCATTTTAAATGCAGTGTCTGTTTGTAGTGTCTCATACCTCTGTTTTTCCATGTCCCTTTCTACTCATTCTAGGTCTGAGTTATGTTGATTACAGGTTTTTAAGATTTAGCTCTTGAATGAATTTGATTTAAACTACTCTAGAATACTTCCATTAAATTATCTTTATATTTCTTTAACAATGTTTTTCATAGAATTTTGAAATGATTAACTTTCTCTATCCCAGAAATAGTTGATAAATTATCTCAACCAGATTGTTTCTTCTGTCTAAATAAATTAGTCTATCTTCCTGTTAACCTTGGTGTGGGCACTGCTAGCACCAAACCTTTATCAACATCCATTACAGGTTCTTTCTTTTTGGAGGTACGCATCATGCCTGCAAGAATACTTTTTAGAGTCTACTTCTAATGCTTCTTCTAATTGTTGTGCATTGCCCAGGGCTGAGGAGTTGATGAGGCTGAAGGAATATCAGGAAAATGATTAATTGACCACTATAAACACATATTTTAGCAACATAAAGGAAGCACTTCTCTCCTCCACCACGTTAAAAGTTCTTGAAGGGTGTGCTTTGTGGATTAGTTGAATTTAATTTTCTTTGCAAATATCAGCAATGTTCTTAACATAGACATGTATTCCAGTTCTGTTAATATAACCCTATCTATGAGTGATTCAGTCACATTATTGTCAAGTTCTAACAAAGTGGCAATTTTCCATCCCAGCTAGTTAAAGGTCACAGTACCATGCCTGTACTGAAAATCAGTCTCTTGACTGAAGACATGCAACACCTAATGTTGTACCTGGCATATAGTCGATGATCTTTACGGTTCTGTGGAGCAGATCCTGCTGCGCTGTGCTGAGTCTGTTTCATTGAATCCCTGCTCATGCATCAGCATTGGAGTCTATATGTTTGTAGTATGTCACTTTGCTCTTTCTAATTCCTCTCCGGGGGCTTTGATGTTCTGTAAGTGCCGTGCTGGTATCTTCATTTTCTTGTTTCTCTTCATGGCGTGAGACAAGGGCCAAAACTCACACATTCTTAAATGTGAAACACTGATTTTTTTACTTGGAATGCTTATGTATTTCTAGATACAACAGGAGCTTGAAGAGGAAAACATGTGAATTAATATAGTATTGACTAGTTTCTCTGTGTTAAGGGGTTCTTGTTATAAAGATTTGGCACAGTAGAATTTCAAAATGATGGTCAAGTTATAAGGCAGGAATCTGATGGGCCAGTGATTACATCCCTGGAGTATATTTATGTTGGTAACTGCTAACCTTCTATTTGAATACAACAGCAATATATTGATTGGCAGTAGAAAATATATGCTCTGCCCACCCCAATAAAGCAGAGCCACATCACCTCCATGGACTCCAACATAGAAGGAAGTCATCTTCAAAATGTTGATAATGCTGTGCTTAAATAAACTCTGCTGGTTAGAAACTATGAACTGGAAACATGGCTCAGAGGTAACCAATGGTAGATCAGGTCCAGAGTTCAGATACCAACATCCACTTCAGGACACTCACAAATGACTGTAACTTCAGTTCCAAAAGATCTGATGGCCCCTTCTGGCTTCTGTGGGCACTTAAACACACACACACACACACACACACACACACACACACACAC